CAGAATATCGTCTGCTAGTGACCTTATCAAGAAGCATCTATATTATAATAATGTCAGAGAGTAACCAATAAATGTTTTGAAAGAGAACCATGTTCCGGTATAATTGCAAATCAGCAAATAAAAGGAAAACATTATTAAGATGTTGGTAATGGGGAGGGTAAATAAAGTATTTTAACTATAGCTTGTGTGGTATATGTTTACACCGGATATACATCAGCTTAACACGTAAAAACTTCAATAATGATCAGGTAAATCTCTTAAGATGTAAATATATATTTATTATGTCTGCATGTTTGCATTTAGCATTTTCTGCGTAAATGACGAGTAATAAAAGACTTTAGTAACCAAAGGTACCTAAACAAAATTGATACAAGAATGCAAAATATCGTTAGAGCCATAACAATGCCAAGGAATATCGACAGAAGCAATGTCCAAATATACACATCTTAGACGCCCGTTTCAAAACTAAGCTTCATTCTAAATGCTTTATCTATTTATTGGTCAGATATGCGGAAACCTCATACGTACGCCTCAAAGGAGTCATCAAAGAGAGAAGTAATTATGGCCGCTTTTCCACGACCGAACACTCGAAAGACGATATTGTGCGTGCGATATCGATGTTAAGGGAAAGTACCGACACCTGTTCATTTGTTGTTTCCCTACATTCAAGTCCACAGTTTGTGTAATTAGAAGGAATTAATTTACTGCTTCACCATGTTTCATCAGCTGGATCTGGTGATAGAGACGCGATTAAAGTGATCAGTGCTGATTGAAAAATAATGTAATTGGGGATTAGTTATCCCTTGGATACATCTGTATGCCTTTGAAGTATGCTCAACACACCATTTGCTAATTATACATCTTAATAAGGGAGGAGTTAAAATCATTGCAGCATGTTTACATCTTTCTTAGACGTCAAGACCTTATAGTTACAATAGAACACACTTTTGCCATTATTGGAACATTCTTAATTTTCTCGTCCTTGTGCTGATGCAACATATAGCTCAAAGATTTACAATAAGGACAAATACATTAATAAAAACAACTGTTGGTTCTCGTGGATGTGCGTGACCGCATGTAGATATACAAAGTGAAACTCTTCAAAATCGAACCCATAGTATCGCGGAATCGCCTTTAACGAAATTTAAGACTTGAGGACATATCCTGTTTTTATTGGTTTCATATCACTATTTTCCCCTTGCCAATACATGGAATACCGATAATCTTTTCACACTTCTAATATGACTTATTAATTACCCGAAAATGCATGACACCGAACTCATTTCAAATCTCGAAATTTATTTTAGTTCTAAACTTCTGGCGCACACTGGAACAGATTATTTACTATTTAGTAAGTACTGTAGTTGGCTAATCTGTGAGACAAAGACTCGGAAAATGTCCAAGTTTCTCGCGAAATTAAAACTTGAAACTCTCGGTGACATAGACTAGGTCTGACAGTAGACTAATCTGAAAAACTCCATGAAAAGAAATAGTTATGAAGGTAAATCATCAATAACTCAGTTTTTTTAAGTAAGCCAACCAAGGAAGATTATATTTATCTGCTTAGTATGTATTTGTGATTAATTATATTTATTTATGTACATCGTCAATATAAAAGATCATTTTTTATTATATAAAATATCAAGGCTGTGTAATGTTCATGTGACCTCGATTTGAATGCTTTGCAAACAGAGATCGACAAAGGATGGCTAATAAAATTCAGATTTAACTTAGCTGATTTTCATAAATGTATGTAAGTAGCTACGATTGTCATTGTACTCGCTATTATGTTAAGATGTCAGGAGGACTGGCTAAGCGTCTTAGAATTTAATTATCTTTACAGGATAAAATTAGTTTGAAAATAGGTCGATAATGGATGAATGCTCTTTAAATGTACTTTGCTTATTGGCCATCAGCTAGTATATCCTTATACATTTAATGTTGTTAAAACATTGATGGTGGCACTTTTGATACTACAATTAAACAAATCTGCCGCACGCACAATCATTAAATCAATATTTAAAATATCGTTGTTATTGTTGTTGTTTGAGCTTGAAGATGTCTATGACATCATTAACTGGGTTAGATTCTGTAAGAATGATCAGGCCAATTCGTGCTTTGAACTATCGTGTTGCACACTGGACAGGAAATGTCGCTCTGTTTCCTGGATCAGTAGATGACGTGTGATAGTTTTGTGACTAACGCTGCTGGCGCTCCTCCCCTGTTCAAAGTATGTTGCTTTTGTAAGGACGAGAATGTGTGAGATGGATTGATCCTGTGCAATATCTTTCCAAAGCTTAGGATACTTGAGCGAATCTTTGAAGCGTTTCCTCCTATCACACTGAGGTAGCTTTCCATCCCTCAGGTCGTCGTAGAAGATTATCTTTGGTAGTCGCTCTTCGAACATTCTGGTGACAAGGCCTGTACATCTGGTCTGTGGTTTTATCAACAGAGCGTAGATGCTTTCAATGTCTGACTGTTTGAGAACCTATGGGACCCTGTTCTGCATCGTATCCATATCAGTTTCTTCAGACAGACCATGTATAGTTCAGAGTTTGGACAGGTGGACTATACACCATCTAGGTTTCTCGTGCACACAATAGAATCATCAAACACGTGCTTTGTAGACCTTCTGTTTTGTTTGCGTCCTGACACCTCTGCGCTCATACATAGTTGAGTATAGTCTTTCAAAGGCAAAACCGGCTATAGCAATTCTGGAGTTCGTTTAATCATCGATGTGGACTATGGGTGACTGTGTACTGCGAGATAACTGAACTTGTCTTCTGTCATGAGGGTACTCATGGTGCATCACCACTTTCGTCAAGCTGATTGTGAGACCGAAATTGTTACAAGCTAGAATAAACAATCCATACTCAATTGCATGTAAGACCTATGTTTGGTATTCATTGAACGTTCGTCAGCAAATAATCAGGAACAGTCATTTCCTGAAACTTCGCCTTTGCTTGAGTCATCTCAGACTGAAGAGCTTGCCAGCAGTCCAGTATATCATGCCAATCTCAGTGGCATAGTCACGGAATGCATCAGCACATGAGCCAGAGAAGGTTATACTGATGAGGGTAGCGGCAGAGACAGTATTGCTTGACTACTGGTGCGTGGGAAATGTTCAGATGACCTACCATAGTCCATGACACAGGCGAACATGACATCATGAAAATACGATAATGAATTTCTCTAAGCAACCAAAGCTTGTCGCGATCATCCAGAGGTTCACACGACTGACTGTGTCACAAGTTATTGTCAGTTCAATGAACGTCGTGTACAGGTTAGGATTATATCATATTTCTCATGGTTTAGACGAACTGCAAACATCACCGATGTGATTCCTCGTTCTGTTTCTCAAACCAAGTGTACTTTAATGGAGGAGCCCTTCATCGACGTGATGCTCAAAGCAATTCAATAAAATTGTAACAAGGACTGCCTGCTTGATAGCAAGCAGATGCTAAAATGTTTGTCACGGGAATGTAGTATTTGCCTTTCCGCTTCTACAAATAGAAAATGTATACATCCGTGTTCATTTCGCTATAGTTCCTTTGCGTTCACATTAACTGGAAGAGTTCTATCAGCTAATGTGTCATGTGCGAGTCATCGGTTTAATAGACCTATTCTGGTAAAACATCTGCTCCAAGTTTTTGCCATTTGACAGCAGTTCCATTGCATTCTCAGTTTTAGTCTGGGTTGGAGGATCAACAAGTCATCTGTTGATTTCCAGTTGGGTCAGTCAGCAGTTGCCTCCTCACTGACAGATGTCTGTAGATCTTTGAAATATCTCTTCTTTGTCAGTGATCGGTGATTCTGTCAGCATTCATTATCGAAAATTTTCCTGATGAATGTGGCCAAGAGTTTGTTTTCAACTCATCATATAAGTTCTTCATGGCATTTCTGTCTGCGTAGAACTGAAATCTCTTCTGACTTATTGCCCGCTCATTAGTCTTGCAAGCCTCAGAGTTTGCATTGGACAGTCCTCTTGATAGTGGTGACTGTGGGCTTGAAGGATTAAAGCAGAGTGCTATCTTCCAAACAGGTATTTTTCAGCCGATTTATCTCATTCATAAGTCTCGGTAAGGCAGTATGGCTCTCATCAAACTAAACTTAATGTTTAAGTGTGGAAGGTGCAAGAGTTTTGCATAAAGATAAGTACAGTGTTTTAATTTGCACAGTTCTTGGACAAATGCCAGTTTCACGTTCTCCTGTTTCATTTTGGAAGCAATGATCTTTTATAATGCACTATATAGCTTTGTTTAATCTGCAAGACAGAATTTGGATATTTAGCATTTAGACTATGAGCAGGTTGTCATTGCGCACTTTTCATGCCGTTCATTACTCGTACATCATGCCTGTCTCTTCTGTCGATGATGTAGTTAGTGAGAGGCCCATGCTTGAAGCGGCATGGGTGCACCTAAGATGTTTTATTAGATTATGGCAGGCGAAAACTGCTGAAGATGATGAGGAACCGTTCAACTCATATCTTCTGTAGAAGTGTGCTGTTGCTGCGTTTGCCAAAGCCATTTTGCAGTTACATCTGGCCACGACTTGTGATGTGTGCCAATTCTAGCAATCAAGTCTACCTTTTCGTACTTCTGGTCAAATTTATGATCTGTGCCAATTCTAGCAACAAAGTTTGCCTTTGCTACATATGGCCATCTCTGGGGATCTGTACCAAATCTAGCCATGAAAATCTGTCTTTGGTACATATGGCCATTTTTGGTGATCTGTGCCAATTCTAGCAATGAAGTCGGCCTTTGTTACATCTGGCCATGTCTGGTGATCTGTGCCAATTCACACATTGGACATTGGCCTTTGGTACATCTGGCCGTGTCTGGTGATTAGTGCAATACTAACAATAAAGTCTGTTTTCGATACATCTGGCCATGTCTGGTGATCTGTGTAGTTTTATAAACGTATCTCCTTGTTGACAATATACCACTAGAATTCATGGCGACTAGGAAACCCGAGCAAAGGTTTTAGATTATTACAGTTTAGGAGACCACTCCGGTGGTTTAGTGGTTAGAGCGTCTGCCTCGGGTACGGAAAGTCGGGTTCGAACCCCGGCCGCTTCATACCAAAAAGTTATTTAAAAATATGAGGGATTAGTGTTAGTACTGGTAGTGCAGGATAATGTGACTGTGTGGGTGGACATCATGCTCCATGTCTACGGCATAATGCCTCTGTGAGTGACATCACTATTAACTGCCACACTGCAGATATCGTAGCGATATGATGTTAAAGCTACGTTTTAAAAAATATCCATACCCTTCCACACAGTTTAGGAGAATGCTAAGCGATAAAATTGAAGTCTAATATTTCCTAAGTATTCATGGACGACACATGGGAACTTCTATATTGATGAACGACACCTGGTATTCTTCTCCGCTCACTTAATAGATCTATATTAAACAAATAATGTTTCCGATACTTTCGATTGACCATAAATATTCCCGCATTATTCTCGGGTTTCTGCTCATAGGAGTCTATTTATGCTAGCATTATACAAGATCAGTGTCTTGAAATTTGCCGAAAATGTAATTATAAAACCGTTTCATGAACGAAGTCATATAAAATATATGTTGCCATTAGAGTCATTATTTTAGGCTGAAAACGCTAAAGTCTCGTCATCTTTATTGAGCGCAAGAAATGGAAGAAATTTAGGAAATGCATGTCGCGTGATATTCAGACGTGTTGCTCGACGTTAGTGCCTAAGAGTAGTCAGCATCCGTCTGTGAAGACAATTGTATTTACGATGCATAACACAATTTTTATTTCTTTTATCTCAGACAATATATAAAGGACGATAAGGGCAAAACTTTTAGAATTCAGTTTTAAAATGAGTTGGCTATTTTGTTCCCTAACGTATGTTTCATATTACTTACACAGTGCTATATTCATATTACTTACACTGTGCTATATTCATATTACTTACACTGTGCTGTATTCATATTACTTACACTGTGCTATATTCATATTACTTACACTGTGCTATATTCATATTACATTACACTGAGCTATATTCATATTACATTACACTGTGCTATATTCATATTACTTACACTGTGCTATATTCATATTACTTACATTGTGCTATATTCATATTACTTATACTGTGCTATATTCATATTACATTACACTGTGCTCTATTCATATTACATTACACTGTGCTATATTCATATTACTTATACTGTGCTATATTCATATTACTTATACTGTGCTATATTCATATTACTTATACTGTGCTATATTCATATTACATTACACTGTGCTATATTCATATTACATTACACTGTGCTATATTCATATTACTTACACTGTGCTATATTCATATTACTTACACTGTGCTATATTCATATTACTTATACTGTGCTATATTATATATTACATTACACTGTACTCTATTCATATTACATTACACTGTGCTATATTCATATTACTTACACTGTGCTATATTCATAATACTTACACTGTGCTATATTCATATTACTTACACTGTGCTATATTCATACTACTTACACTGTGCTATATTCATATTGCTTACTCTGTGCTATATTCGTATTACTTACACTGTGCTATATTAATATTACTTACACTGTGTTATATTCATATTACTTACACTGTGCTATATTCATATTACTTACACTGTGCTATATTCATATTACTTACACTGTGATATATTCATATTACATTACACTGTGCTATATTCATATTACATTACACTGTGCTATATTCATATTACATACACTGTGCTATATTCATATTACATTACACTGTGCTATATTCATATTACTTACACTGTGCTATATTCATATTACTTACACTGTGCCAAATTCATATTACTTACACTGTGCTATATTCATATTACTTACACTGTGCTGTATTCTTTTTAGAACCTTGTCCACAAGAATTGTTCCACTATGCCTACAAGATATGGCACTCTCACCAAGAGAGAGATAGATTATTATTTGACAGTAATTTATTATAAAGTATATATATATATATATATATATATATATATATATATATATATATATATATATATATATATATATATATATATATATATATATATATATTATTTGTCCATCATCTCCTTTTCAACAGCTTAGTAGATTACATTTTAAGTTTATGTTGGAAATTGTACTTATAACATTTCATAAAAACGGAATATGTGCAGTAATATCTGCTGTGTATGAACAGTGCTTGTGAGAATACATTATCAACTGAATTTAAATCACATGTGTTATATCTGAAGTAAAATAGACTTGGATGTTAACAAAGTTTTGCTAAATCAGAAGGTGTGATGAAGTAAATTCAGAGCGCTTCAGTCGAGCATCCATATTCCCATTTTTAGCTTCTATTCATATCCAATGGAAAACTTTAGTGTAATAATTGTTTGTGATGTGATATGATTATGACTTTTAACGTAGCGTTTAACAATTTTTCAGTCATATCACTACGATGTCTGCAGTGTGGCAGTTTATAGTGATGTCTAGCAATGTGGCATCATGACGCAGACATGTATCATGTCCCACTCTGTTACATTATTTTGCCACCAAGCCAACCAGTCCTAACACTAACCTCTTGATGCTGAGCATCAAGCGAGGAAGCTGTTAGTGCCATTTTTGTAAGTCTTTGGTATGACTCGACAGGGGATCGAAACCACGACCTCCTGCATCCAAGTCGGACGCTCTAACCACTAGGTCACCTGAGCGGTTTTTTTTTTGGTAACTATGATTTTCGATATATGTATATAAACACATAAAATGTTCTAAGTCATAGTTCAGCTTTAAATAGGGTAATTTATAAAACTGAATTCGCCGTGAGTGTTATTGTACAATTAGTGAGTTCTATTGTACAATTGAACATGAATTTAGCAAATATCAAATTCATTGAACAGCCAACTTCCTATGCAAGACTAATATGGTACACAAAAGTTGTACTAAGAATATATGAGGTAATAGGCAGTTGAATAAGGTGTCCCTTGAGCAGATTTTATGAAAAAATACTGATTTCTTGAGTTCAAGGATTAACTAACTGTACGTTGTATTAGTGCAAGGATGTGGAGCTTTAGCCCAACTAAATTCACTGATGAAGATTGCTCAGTTAAATTACTTTCTTTCATTAAAAATTTATCAGGGAAATTAACATATGGATCGAAAGGAATAGAAACGTAACCGAAGAATATAAACAGGTCATCACAAAACTCTATGTAAACTTTCATTATACAAAACTTTCCTTCCTTCTCTTAAAGAGCTGTTTAAGCCATTCCTACATCAAAATATTTGTCTAAAGCTCCATATTTTTATTACAACACTGAAAAATGAGACAATGGATCCTATTTTTGACTAAAAACGGAGTAAATTGGAACAAAGTTTCAAACTCAGTTTCATTATTATTATTATTATTATTATTATTATTATTATTATTATTATTATTATTCGTATTATTATATATATATATATATATATATATATATATATATATATATATATATATATATATATATATATATATATATATATATATATATATATATATACTTTAGTTGTGAACCAGCTAACACGTGTTTATAAAGTACAGAATGAATAAGTTCATGGATTATCCGTTTATGTACGGGGTTATTTATCTTTGTGAATGAAACTGTTAAGCAATCTATATGAATATATCCATTCACGGTTTGCGCTAGAAAGAAATTAAGCTACCTCTAAATTGTTTACTTTCTCTACTCCAGTGATTCTAAACGCCTAGGTTGCGACTCCAAAGAGGGTCGCTAGGAGGTTCTAAAGGATCGTGGATGGTCACCATGATGTTTTTAAGAGTGGCAAAACTTATCTTAAATGTGGAAACGGGGCCTTTAGACTCAAAATAAATAGTTTATTAAGGATCGCAGCCAAATAAAGTTCGGGAAAAACTGCTCTAAACGATGAAGTATAACTATCTCCACTGCATGTTACAGTGTAATATGTATGTCGTGATTTTGCTATGAGATTGGAAAGTTAATATTTTAAATATGACGAAATCAAACATAGATCGTAGATGTTCATGAAGGTTGGAGAAATGCAAATATGTTGCAAATAACTTATTGAATAGATAGAATTTTGAAAACTCGCTTAAATTTATATTGTACATAGATTTGTGAAGGAATAAATTAAGTGTACTTACCGTCATATATATTTTGTAATAGGAAAGTATCATTCCGCTGATGGGGAAAATAAAACAAGACCAAAAGATGATTATTACGTATGACAACGTCGCTGGGTCTTTTTTGTCCCAACGTATGCTACATGACGTTAAGGCACCTTCTAAGCCATACTCGCTCCATCCCAGAAATGGAAAAATTGACCACAATAAACCACCAATAAAGCATCCGAAAATGGACAAACCCGCAACTCTGTTTGTTATACGATTTGTCTGTGAATGTCTGGCAATGACTACGTATCGGTCACACGAAATCGCCATCAGCAAATACAATGATGATAAACCAAACCAGTATACCATAAATCCTTCAAAATAACACACAGACTGTCCATATGGCCATCCTCCTATAAAACTAGCAGTCATAGCAATAGGGGTTGGAATAAGGGCCATAATTAGGTCACACACAGTCAAGGCTATGATAAACATGTTGGTTGGCGAACGCAATTGTTTCTTTCTGAAAAATATTAAAAGTACAAGGCTGTTCTCTAAAGTAGCCATTACAAACACGAAAAGAAGAATTACGCCAGAAATGATATGAGCAAACTGAGGATAATGTGGATGTCTGATGATTTTATCATTCCAACGGATAAAGTCTCTGGCGTTAGTCGTTGTAATATCTGTAGTGTTGGCGAACCCACTGCTCATTTTTGCATTTACTTTTTGAAATGTAAAATCGACAATATTTGAAGAATTGCGAACACGGAATAAACTCTTGAAATGTATAAACTTCGACTTAACATGAATTGGCACTTCCTTGTGCTACCGTTTCTGAGCGAAAATCTGATTCAAAACTGAATGCTAGCCATGTGCCTTAAATAACAGACCTGGTCCCAAAAATCGATAAATGGTTACAAGACTAAGAAACCAGTAC